ATGAAAACCAGAAGTTAACACCAGATCAAGCATATGACCTTTTACATGAGTAGGACCTGTAACTAGCTGTGCCAAATTAAAGGAATCCACCATACACAACAATTCCTTTACTAAAGGTTGTGTTTTACAGCAAATATGAATATTGAAATCTCACAGGATTAACAATCTGTCACCACAAGGTACCAGTGTTGACAAAACCTCTGAGAATTCACCAATGAAGTCCTTATTATATTTAGGTGGTCTATAGATGAGTGCACAAAGTATGGGACAAGTTTGATCGATCTTCATTAGCTGCACTTCAAAGGTTGTAAAGGCGTCAACAGGCAAAAGTTTGCAATGATAATGGTTCCTAAACACAGTAGCTAAACCACCACCACGGCCAACAGACCTTGGAGTTTTATGAAAGGTACAGTCCGCTGGAGTTACTTCTCCTAGAGGGATGACGTCCCCAGCATTTTGCCTGGTCTCTGTCAAAAATAAAAAGTCCAAGTCTCTAGAACTAAAAAAGTCATTAAGAATAAAAGTTTTATTTGAAAGAGATCTGGCATTGAGTACTGCAAACTTAACAGGAGAGGAGGCTGAAGTTTTTGATGAAGTTGACATAGTCTTTATAGATGAGTATTCCAGCGAGCGAATGTGGTCGAGGTTAATACCGTTCCTCGCAGCCCCTGGTTTATTTGCCTGGCGACAAGCAGATGACCATAGAGATGGAATACAGTTGTTAAACACATGACTGGTGTGAGACTTCTCGTAAATACACCACGCCTCAGAAATCTCCCCATCACAGTAGTATTTTTTAAACAAAAGAAACCAAATAAAAAAATAAAATAAACTAACCAGAATTCCTTTATAAGTGCCGACGTTCAAGATGATCGTGACGTTTCGGTACTAAGCTATGCCTTCTTCAGGCGGTCTCGAACGTCAGATCGTTATTATAAAAGTGCAGAATGTAATTCGCTAGCTTGTATCTCTCCAGAGTAACCGAGTGAGTGTGTGAGAGCACGCAGCTTGCGGTTTTGAATCAAGCCGTCGCCTCTCCAATGACGTAACTCACTCTCGACCGAACTCCGTGACCTAGTTAATTAAAACTGCAAATTATTCACTGAGATAATCTTTATCAGAGTCTGAAAAAATTATAAGTGTGTTAGACTAACTCTCCTTGTTGGTAGAGTGAATGTTTGAATATTTTAGGCATGTTAATCTTTGTGTTTTACCGTGTTTTGGGTGAAAAACATCTTTATTTCCTTTTAAAACATCACTATTTTCACTTTTTGTTTTTTAGTCCTTCTCCTTTTAACTACTTAGATTTTTAGTCAATGTTATTTCCAGTTGCATTGGGTGGGGTTTGGAAATCCAGTTTTCTGATGGAAAGGGTTGTAGGTGTGAGGGTATGTTTAAGACGGGTTTCAGTGCAATCTGTTTTACTGGAGTAATATATAAAGTAGATCAAATCATGAGAGATAGTGTTGGACCTAAGAAAATCTAATAAATGACAGAAAAAGGATAGAGACCCAAGGCCAAGGACAACCCAAAGAAAACTCCAATAAAACTGCAAAGCTGCACCGACAACTCACTTCTTGTTGAATCCTCAAGGATACATTTCGTCAAGGCATTTCGGTAACACTTTATTTTAGGGTCTCTTAACTAGTTGCTTATTAGCATGCATATTACTAGAATATTAGCCATTTATTAGTAGTAATTAAGCACATATTAATGCCTTATTCTACATGACCTTATTCTACATCCCTAATCCTACCCGCATTTCATATAAAGCTTTTCCGCTCTCAGATGGTCACTTAAAGTCCAAAATGGACTTGTCTGTAGGCCCAGAAGGTGTAAAGAGGTCATGGCGGTGGGACAGAAAGTGCTGAAGCAAATATCTACGGTTTTTAATTTAGTGTGTGATATTATAGACATGTTGGTATATGAATTATGTAGTTCACTCTTTTGTCTGTCCTACATACTGTTTACGACACTTGACAAAATATCAGATACAAGTAATTTGACACTCAGGCATACAAAAAATGTTGCAGATTGAAAATATGACCCATGGGCAGACTCCTGACAAATTTTTGGGTAGCAAAATATTTTAAAAAGCCACTTCTACTTCTAGTAGCCGCAGTAGGTGGTTTACTGCAAACCATAAGATCTTTTGAGATTTTTATTTCTTCTAAATGCTGCAATCTAGTCAGTTACTGCTCTCAGTTACTCGTTCTAAAGGTGATCGGGCTTTCTCAGTGGCTGCCCCTTGAATAGTCTTCCTTTCTATTTTAGACTCATCTCTTTCGAAGCTACTTGACTTCATCATCATCATAAAAAAAAAAAAATCTCTTTATCTATTCCTTTTCTTTCTAGCGTGTATTTATTTGAACAATTTCTAAAAACTTGGTATTACAAGCACTTCCTGTATCTGTTTGCCTCTTTAAGAAGAATCGCTTTATGTATCCCCCAATTGTAAGTCGCTTTGGATAAAAGCGTCTGCAAAATGACTAAATGTAAATGTAGATCTGCTCTTTCTATTTCTATGTTCAAATCCTCTTTGAAGACCTATTTTTATTCTTTGTGTTTTAATTCTTCCTGAGGGTGTACATTTTCTTTTGTCCATTTGCTTGTGTTTTTATTTAGTTTTAATCCTGTTGAATATTTCCTGAACAGCACTTTAGTTTCAGCATCTGTTGTTGTTAAATGTGTTCTATAAATCAATAAATTAATCTAAACGTTGCTTTGAACTAAGAAACTGTTGGTTGCTTCACATGGTTAAACTGATCTTCCCCCTGCTTCACTTTGGTTCATTCATCTTCACATTTCCCTTTCCCATGTATGTGTGATTTGTGTGTGTTTGTTTAGACTAGTTATTGCAGATCGATGCCACTTTAATGTTTAGATTCGGCCACATGTCAAAAGAATAATTTTTCTGTTGCCACGGAAAATATTCTTTCTGAAAGTTGATAAACATTCAAAAAGTGTTCGAAGTGTTCAAAGAGTGTTGATATGACGATCAGGTTAATTGATTGTAATATTATCAAGTTAATTATTAACTGATCCAAATATTATAATTAATTTATAATGAGTTATGATTTATTATTAATATTTTCCCTTTGAGCTAATTTGCTAAAAACAAGGACCGAGTGTAGTCTGGGAATCCATGAAAGCATTCTTACGGGCCAAAATATAAGTAGCCCTTCCAGTAAGAGAAAACAATATCAGAAATTGAACATGAAAAACAGCCTGTTCACAATTATAGGTGCGAATGAACTCAGAATGAACAGAAGTTAAATTGAAAATGAGCACAGCATAAATAAAAACATTTATTTCTAATCCAAGAGCAGTAAAGATTAGTACAATGCTGATCTAGATAATAAAGTAATCAAAACATAACACACAATTTGATAGTCACACCACACAAGAATCGAACCCACAATCTCCAGGTCACCCATCTTGTTGTGCCACTGGGAAGATGGGTGTGCACCTAAATGCTGAAGGTTAGCTTGGGAGAAAATAGCTGCTCGAGTCAATGCGTATGTTTAAGTAATTACTGTAATTTAATTTTCACTTGAAAAAGCAAGGGATTACTCTTAATGTTTCTGTAATTTAATGAAAGTAATTTATGATGCAATTACATTAAATACAGAATTTTTTGTTGTTTTTTTTCGAATTAAAAGTGCAGTTGTGTGTCTATCCTTGTGGTTGAGGTTGATATGGGATTTATAAAGTAATTAGAAATAAATAATCCAGTACTTTTTAGGGAGAGTAATTATTACATTAATCTAATTTTTTATAGTAACTTACCCAACACTGCTGTTATAATATCAGAAGTGAAACTGGAAGAACAGTACATTATTGAACCTAATTTTATTTTTCATGTAGGTGCAATCCTGCAGGCATAAAAAAGAACGTGGCAGCAGCTAAAAATGAAATATAAAAACATAATTCAATCAGGTAAGGCTTGAGCATATCATTGATGTAGGCTACCTGACTTTACAAACATTTGACATATTAAATAACTAAATAGCATCCAGTGTCTTGCAGTGCAGCAGCATTTTTGACATAGGAGTAATGCTGTTTTCACACGATTAAATGTTCATTCTTATTTGACTTCTACTCAGCCAATAGAAAGAAGGCAGAGGCTCGCAAAACTGGGGGAGGAGCTACACCAGCACCACTCACAAATGCAGAGGAGATGGCCCTGAGCCTGAACACTGGCAGGAGTTCATCAGAGCCAGTCACTCCCCAGGATACAAGTGCCTTCATAAAATGTAAGAGGCCTACCTATATATTTTGTTTTATATAGGCTATTTTTCATATCCATTTATTTCACTTTGGGTTGGATTTTTTTGTTGGTGCCAACAGATTCTGATGGTAATGTCTGTCTTTTGGAGCCTCCTGTCATAACAGAACCCCAGGCAGTTGTAAGTAGCCTACTAAATAAACCATTAATGATGACAAGTAGTATTATAAAGTGTACTCAACCAAATGCTAATCTTCACAGTACGATGAGGATGATGAAACCACTTCTGCCACAGAGAGGCCTACAGAGGTAATATTAATAAAGTGTCTACACATCAAACAATCTAAACATTCACATGTCTTCACATTTTTGTGTGGAGTAGCCTATAGAATCAAAGTTTATATTTAAGTATAAACTGATTTTATTATCTCCTCTGCCCCCCAGAGTGTGGACGAACAGCGGGAGGAGGGTCCGTCAAATTATGCTGCACAGATGAACACAGTTCAGTAAATGCCAGAGTTTAATTCATGAAGAACTACATAATATAACTCTAATCTACCGTATTTTCAGTTACCAGTTAAGGCGTTATATAGACTTCATCTTATTAAAAAAATAGAAAAAAACAGCAAAGTAATTATATACTTGGACCGCTAGGAAATCGACATCCTGAAAGAAAAGCTAAAGGTGAGTGTATGGTCATGGGTGAATTATATGAATTATTGGAAGAATATGAAAATCAGGAAATAAAGAAGACCAAATAAATTGTTGTGATTTGTATTTATTCATTGTTTCTTTTGTGGGTGGTTGTTGATTAATCTGAGAAGAAATTGCGGCATATAATAATATCTCTGACTACCCTTCCATCCTGGAAATCTGCTGGGTGGATGGGGTCTTCCTCGGGGTCTTGTGTTTGTAGGGCAGGGTGTTGCTCTAATTATGGCAATATTATGGAGAACAACACATGCCGCAATAATGTAGCAGGGCCTCTCAGGGGTTATTAGTTATTAGCTATTAGTGTTGGTTGGCATGGGTAACCCCTATTTCCCAGCAGAAAGCCATCAATCTCTCCTGTAAGAAAGTTCACATTGCTTTAATGCTGCAGAAGTGCCCCTGTAAGTGTGCAGTGCATGCATTGAAATAAGTGTATAAGGCATACATGTACTTACCACATCCCAGCCTGTTGCTCAGGGTCGACTCCCGATATATTCGTGAGTCATGAACAGAGCCGGGCCACTTGGCCTCCACATTTGTGATGATATATGCAGCATCACATATGATCGTGACAGTGCAAAGAATGAGACATGTGAGTTACAGCATTGTGATGTAGTCTTTGACCATTAGAGACAGTAGGTTAGTCAGTGTACCTGCATATTAATACTGTGGATAGACCTCCTGTTGACATAGCTTCATTTTCGGAAGGTGCAATGATGGGAATATGTGTGTCATCAAGGCATCCAACCACATTTGGAAATCCTGGAGGGAATTCTAATTATTAGGTTACTTCCAGAGGTCTCAGCAAGATGTTATTAATTGATCATCATTTTTCAGAGTAGCCTCATTTAAAATGATTTCTACACCACTAACCTGCAATCCTGTGAAACTCCTCTTTAGCACTATTCGGACGGGACTAGTTTTCTAAACTACGTTTGAGTTTCGATTCTTATCACCTGACGTCTGTGATTTTCATGTACCAATTTGGACAGGACTAACATCTCCGTGTTTATTACAGAGGTGGGAGGGTCTGTTTTGTCCATCTGGGCATCACAGAGATCACATGCTCTGTATACACGTTGTACTGTTCTCTTTATATGTTTTGCTTTCCCAAAGCGTGTAA